GATCAAAATCGATAAATCGTTTAGTTGACAACTAATCGATTGAAAAATTTTGAATTAGTCAACTAATCGATTGAAAAATTTTTGGCAATTTGTAACACTACATGTGATACAGTGTAGATTCTCGTTGAACAAACCAACCAATAAGAGAGTGCCATTTATTACGTAATTTTCTCTTATCATAAAGTCATACTCTCTCTTTGAACATGATTTTCTATTTAACCTTTCTAGGAGAGTATAATCATAACTTGAACACTTGGATGTTGGACATACCAACCTCCCCTAGCGATATTAAATTTATAGCTTCTAATTGGATAATTTTATTATATTAATATGATAAATCGCTAAACCCCCTCATAAATTCCTTACACAATAAAAATTTAAGTTACGTATGAATACTGTAATTAGCAAATATTAATTTTAATTAATTTAATAAATTTTAATTAATTTTTTTTTTTTTTTAAATAAAAGATTAACTTCTAAAAATTTGCCGTAGTGACTGTTAAAAATATTTTGACTTTACTTTTTATAATTTAATAACTCTTCAGGATAAAAAATTATTAGAAAACCACTTACTTATGACATTATAAAAATCATGTTACTATGATGTGCTATAACGCTAAGCTTGTATTTAATTTGACATTTCATTAAGTAAAATTACCTTTTTCAGACACTTAACGGTTTCGTTCCCTAGTATAATGTTACGCTTGTGTACAAGCTGACACTTGCTGAAAAGGCTCTTTAAGATGTCTAGCTAAAGCATCAGTCTTATTTTAAGGTAACAATTTATAATAAGCACTTCTCATAAGATGCAATATAATGGATAGATAAGACTAATATATATATAATAACCTTTGCCTTTAATATTCCTAATTCGACTTCAGGTTTTGCGACAAGACATAATAACATATTACTAACTGTCGTGATAGCAACATTTCCCTCCTTTAAAGATCATTCAATTTTTTTTTTTTTTTTATAATACAAAATTAATTAATTTATCAACAGAACAAAATGCATATATCAATACTCGAGACTTTTACCTCACACTCTACTAATAAAAATTTTAATCCATCATCTTTCATTAAATTTTTTCCACTTTTTTCAAAAGTACACCAAATATTAGATGCTATAGCTGCATAAATCCTTGCCTCCCGATCTGAATCAGAAACAAAAGCTAATGGAGAACCTTCTGAATTTAAAAGACTTTAAAAGAATTCGTCAGTTAAATTATTCTAAACTGTGAGCACCTGTAAATTGAGTATAGAACATACAGTGTTGCTTTAACACCACCAGTGGTCGCTTGTTTAAGAACCAGTGAAATTGTTTTCGGTTTAAGCATTGCAAGAAAAAAAAAAATCGTCTTGATGCCTTTTTATATTACTGGGTGGCTATAAAAATCCCAGGTTAGAATTAGTCTGATTGGCTGAGCCGGTCCCTATTTTTATTGGATGGGCCACATGAAAACCTGAAAATTTATCAAAAAAAATTTGACGTTTGGAAATAAGAAAAATAGAACGAACCTACTAAATCATCTAAACGACACATAATACCCATTATATCTGATAAATAATATACGTATAATATTATATCTACTTTACATTTTATTAATAAAAATTGAAAGTAACAAAATTAATATTAAAAATTATTGATTAATTTCGTACAACACATGAATTCTCAGTGAGCAATCTGTACACCCAATAATATCCGCCCCTTGGTCCAAATCTTCCTCGGTAATTATATATAAACCATTGCAACGGCATCGCATTGAATAGGAATTTGTCTCTATAAATTTTTTAAAAGTTTATCTCAGACAAGTTATAGTTTATATCTGAAAAAAAAAAAAAAAAAAAAAAATAGTAATAAACCAGTGTTGTACGCGGACGTTGTCCCGTCAAAATTGCGCGGACACGAACGGTCCTGGACAGTGTCCCATGTCCGTGATGGTTGATGGTTGTCCCATTTATTGCACGGGTCTTATGTGACAACCCGTGCTTTTTTCATTTACTTATTGGCACGGGATTGTTACGTCAGACACCGTGCAATAAAATAGTTATTATATGGGTTGAATAACCCAGTTATTCACACGGGTTCATATTTAAATCCCGTGCCTTCGGCACGGAATATGAACCCGTGTGTAACTGGGTTATTCACTACAATAACTATAAATTATCGAACAACCTGATTGGCTAACACGGATGTTCTTAATTGTCCGTGACGAAAAACTTTGGCGGACATGACCGGGACGTCCCATCCAGGACTGTCCGCTGTCCGCGTCCGTGTCCCATGACAACACTGGTAATAAACTACCATGATTATATTCCATATCATCTAAATCTACTTCCGAGTTAAACAATCCATCGTGTTTAAGTTTTTTGGCTTTTAAAAAATCGTTTTTGATATGATCTTTAATTTTGAATAATTGAAATAGCAAAAAAAAACAAAAAAGTACCTTTTAGTTCATTATCATAAACTTTTCGTAATTCTGGATCTTTTAAAATTTTCCATGCTTCGATAATTTGATTTACGTTTTTTCTAGTATCCTCGGAATTTTCTAAAGAATGTTGAGATTTATCTGGATGGTACTTATTTTTTATATATAAATCAAAATCGTCATTATTTCATTTAAATCTTGTTATTTATTAGAAAAAAGAGACTTACAATAAGTAGCAATTTTTGATATTGCTGTTTTATTTCTTCTTGGGTTGCTTTTTCAGGTATTTCGAGAAGTTCATAATGTGATAAGTCCATAACATTTAGGGTTTAAAGCAGGTGTTGGCAAAATTATATTCTTAACGTTAACAATTGATCAACATATCAAGATCACGGGAATAATTTTTTTTTATTCCATCATAAATTCTGGACACCTTATAAAAAATTAGCAAAATGATTATATAACTATCGTTAACTCCGGCGAATACGTAGTTGTAAATAAGCTAGGCCCGGCCACCATGCTCGAACCTATAAATATTTTTCATATTCAGGTTCGGTCAAATTTTTTTTTTTTTTTTTACATATTATTTTATTCAGCAAAAATGACAATTAAATTTGTATTTTCGAAATATTTACAAATTTATATTGCAAAAATTCCGTAATTATTATTATTTTAAACCCATTTCGTTCGTATAAGAGGTCACATGAAAGGTAATAAGTAGATTACATAGAATTTAATCAAAATATTCAATAAAAATCAATTAGTCGATTATGTCGACGAGTCAAGAAATTAGTTTTGGCTGTTTTTAATTATCGATAAATCTCTATCTGCTACGATGTGATTTTCTTCTGTCCCTTTCCCTATCAATATCCCGTTCTCGTGATTTAGACCTCAACTTATAATAGCGATTATCAATTTCTGACCTCTTTCGATCTTTGGATCTTGATCGACTTCTCATGCGATCGCGAGAAATAGATCTGCTACTTCGACGTGATCGCTTATAACGCGACAGCGAACGATCGCGATGGTATGGTGATCGTGACCGTGAAGATCGTCGACGGGATTGATTATCTAACCTTGGCTTTTTAGACTGTTCTTTGTCATAAAATGACTTATTTTGATTGTCTTTATTTCCATTTGTTTCCTCTTTTGTTTCTTCATTACCAATAATATCATTCCATGTATTCCAACTTTACATTTATCCAAATTAGCGAAAGATTTAAATCCATTAATTTTTGTGTTAAGATTGAATTGTACATTAAGTTAATAGTTATAAAAATTTACACATTTTAATAAATTAAAACAAATAATTATAAGAAAATAAGTCACCGATCATCATCATCCTCTTCTTCTTCCTCCTCCTCATCAACTATATTTGTTCCTTGTTTATGTATGTTGTCATCTCCATCTTGGTACGAATCTCGTTTACTGTCGCTCCCATTACCAATGCCGCCATCCCTAGTCTTTTTCCTTTTTCTACCGAATTCATCCCATTCTTCATCTTTTTCTGCATCTCTTGATCTTCTATATTCTACAACTTCATCACGTTCCATAAACCCTCCACCACGGCCTTCCCTTGAACCCATAGTGGTTTCTAAACCTGGTTTTGGTGTTTTACATTGATTACATTCTGATCGTCTAGCCCAATTTATATTGGAACAACTTAAACGCGTTTGTAAAAATGTATTAGTTTATGTAAATTTATTTATAATTTATTAAATTTATTATAAACGACGGTAAATTTACATCGGACATTTCCAATCTTTTTCTGAAAATAGCCCCTGTCGAGTAAAAAAAAAAAAAAAATGAAAAAAATGAATCCTTTTAATAATCACCTTCTGATCAGTTTTCGAAAAGCTTAACTAAACTTACCCCATAACGATTTGCAAATTCTCTTCCCACTTCATTGGCTGTCCCGCCTGGTACGTTACTAGAATCGTCTTGACGAGATCTTCGGGAATTTCCTTCTGAATAATCACGGTCTCTTTCGTGACGACTGCTTCCGCCCATCTATAAGGGCTTAATAAGATTTAGTTTCAAGTTTATAAAAATATCGAATATTATTGATAACACTAATGCAAGTGATCAACAACAAATAAATGATTTGGTTCACAAGGGTATCATGAGTTCATGGGTCCGCGTTAGTCATTTTAATATATAAAAGGTAAAAAAAGAAAAATTTTTTGTTGAGGAGAGTGGGATTCGAACCCACGCCTCTTACGAGACCACGGCCTTAACGTGGCGCCTTGGACCGCTCGGCCATCTCCCCAAGTCTTAGTACTTTTCTTCCATAAATAATATTTATAAAAAAAATGCTTTTCAATAATACCGATCTACTAAATAATCAAAACTATGTTAGATAGCACTTTTCATATCACAGATTTTTACGTTACACGAATAGCGAACAAATTTTATTCACGGATTATGTATTGTATGTTTAATATGTTTAATACTATCAGCTATAATACATAATATAGTATATAGTAAAACATAATATAGTAACATAACGATAACGATAGTATAATAAATTAAAATTCTATTTTTTGTCAAATAGATTTTTAAATTAAATATTTGCTCTTTTTTCATATTCGTTATCTTTTAAATTTTTCTTGGTTCAAATTTTGTTTGCATATAGGTTTTAGTTGCTGCTAACGTTTTTTAGTTCTTAGTTCTATCAGATTCATAAAGTTACAACCAATTTCTTTAAGTAGCATATTTAATAACTGTAATTTTTATTGCTAAAGATTACTTGTAATATTTGGATATGTTTTAAGATTCTATTTATTGAAAAGGCCTTCAACTTGTTGTTGATGAATCACAATATATCAGATTCAGTACTTGACAAATTCAAATAATTTAAGAAATTGAAGTTATTAAAGTTACTATTTTTAATATTCAACTTAATAAATTTCATATAATATAATTCTTATAATAAAGATATTGATAACTAAGATGTTTTTAAGACAATATAAGTATAGTTTTATACAAACTCTTATCAATATTTTCTGCCTAAGTAACAAATACTTAGTGCTAAATGCAATTACAATTTAACTATTTCTAGTAAAGTTCTAATACTTTATAAGTTTTATATTCAATATTTATTTTTTATTTTTTTTTAATTTAAGTGATTTTGCTCTTTATTTTATTAAAAGATATGTTAAGTTTAGTATTAAGACGTATACAGAAAATTAAACTAATCTAATTTTTAGACTACTTTTTTTTTTACAATTCTAAACTTACTTAGCTACCTATATAGTACCAAATATGATTTGCTATAGCAGTATTTTTCCTCTTAAAAATTAGTACATAACTGAGTATGTTTATTTATTTCTAATCTTCAAAAAACTACTACTAGCTTATACTAAGAATACCTATTTGTTTTTGAAATTTAACTACTTCTTATATATTTCTGTTTTAATTCAATTTGTAATTTTTTTTTGAATTCTTTAAAGATTCTTTTTTTTTTTTTATGAAAAGCTTTTTTAAACTGAGTTTCTAATATATTAGAATTTTTTTTGTTAGTTACTTTCTTTTTCTTTGATTTTTTTTTCTTTTTTTTTTACAAATTGATTCTTTTTTTTAACTTAAGTGATCTTACTCTTTATTTTATTAGGAACATTATAACTATAACAACTAGAAATATAATATTACAAAAAGTCCTAAACTAATATAATAAAAATTCTCTCCCTATTACAATTCTGAATTTACTTAGCTGCCAATATAAACTCAATTGAGTTTAGTAGATACCTAAGTATGATCTGCTACAGAAGTCAGTTTTCTTCCCTCTAGTAACTCCTTACTAGAGGATATTATCTTTGGATTGAAAAAAAGTGATTCTAAATCTATATTAAGATCTTAGATCTCTTCTAACCTAACTAAAGCTAAGCTAACAGTAGTTAACACCTAGTTTTAAGATAAAAAAAAATAAAAACTAAAAGTATAAATACTTATTAACAAAGACAAACTTGTTCTAAGTTGTAAAAACTTTGTTAAACAGTAATATAAAAAAGACAAAATATGAGAAAAAAAAGAACTAGTAACCAAATACTTTGTAACCTAAGTCAGGCTTAAAAATTTTAAGTTATATAACTTATAATCTATCTCAAATAATTTCTTTCCTATGTATAATCCAATTCTAGTATCTGTACTTTAACAGTTTTGTATCATTTTTTCCTAGAATCTAGAATTGTTAATAGAGTACTCCAAACTATAATAAAACATATAAACTATTTCGATTTAAAACTAGAGTAGTTTATATATTTTATTATAGTATTACAAGTGTCAGCCTTCTTAATTCAATATAAGTAACATAAGACACAGAAGAGGAGCTCTTAATAGTATCCAAGTAGAATATTACTTCACTGTAGCAGTTCGTTACAAGGTTAATAAAAGAGCAAAGATTATACTTTATTTAAGATACAATATTAATAATACAAGACTATTTATTAGTTTCTGTGCTAAAAGAATTCTAATATTAAGGAGATTGCAAAGGTAAAACCTAAGTTGGGGCAAAGGGAAAAGGGAGGGTTTATATAGCTTTTTACAATTAAGAATAAGAACAGTAGAAATA